GAATTAAACGGTATGCGATGCCTATCTCATGTTAAGTGCGGAGAATTAAGTTTATGATTTCATGTACCCTTTCTTAACTTTCAACACGTTTTGAAACGTAACTTGACAGTTTAAGATAAATATTTTTTAACGTATTTATGCTTGCTCTGCTTTTCGTATTATTTAGCTATGATGAGCGTATTGATCGTGTTGAAACCCGAATCACTGCTCGTCTTCGAGATCTTCTTGGGACCGCCAGAAATGCGAATGAAATGTTCCGTTATTTCTCTCGCTTTAATGCCCTCTTCGTTCGACCTCATATACGTGGGGCCATTCGCGAATATCAGACTCAATTGATTCAACGAGTCAAAGATGATATTGAAGCATTACATGCTAAATTTAAGGTTGGATACCTTCAGAGCAGTGCTTATCACATGACTAAAGTCAGAGATCTGCCTCCCGTCGCTGGCTCGATTATTTGGGCGCGACAGATTGAGCGCCAGTTGAATACATATTTGAGACGTGTGGAGGACGTTTTAGGCAAGTCGATCTAGCTACGAAAACATTGGCTTATGCCTATTTCTAGCGTAAACATTATATTGTGTTTTGTTTTATTTTTTCATTCGCTCATTCGTGGTCTGTCTGTTCTTAAATGTTATCTTCCCTGTTAAGGATGTTTTATTCACAAATTCTATGTGGTGATTAAAATTTACTAGCTCTATATTTGCTCAAGTCCACATAATCTTATACTTTGCTGCTACCATTTATCCCTTTGTCATACAGTTCGTTTTACTTGTTAACTTATTATGAAGGAAGGAGCTTCCAATTTACCTAATAGGACTTTTTAGTCGAGCTTCATCGGCTTAGAGTATTTTACAAAATATTCACTTGATCCTTTTAGGATCACAACTAGGTTTTCAATGATAATTTGCTCTGGAATGTTCTCTTTTTAAAAAGTGCTTGGCCATTAATTTTCATTTACCTTTACGAGTTTATAAATGAATGGGAAATTTAAACTATGAAATGGTTTATGGTTATTTTGTCCTTACTGCAGAGACCCACATAGTACATTCAATTTAATAGCACTCGGTCTCTATCCATTCCAAAGTATTCATATAGTCTTAAGTAGTTACATTCATTTCCAATCTATGTAAAATATTTGGATGGATCAGTCAGCCAAGTAGCATCATTCAGCTAAGCATACCGCCTACATTTTTTAAGTTTTTATTTAGCCTTATTTTTTATTTAACGGATACAGGTAAAGGCTGGGAACATCATCGAGAGGGTCAATTACTGAAAGCTGAAGGTGACAGCTTCAAGGCCAAACTCAACGCTGCTGAGCTTTTTGAAGACTGGTCAAGAAAAGTACAACAAAAACAAATATTCGTGTTTGGACGCATTTTTGGCATTGAACCGACACGAGCCAAAGTTGCAACGAAAGATGGAGAAACGCAAACTATGACTTTGCTTAAATTGAAGGTCAATTTTCAGCTTGAGTTAATAACTCTAGCTAAAGAAGTAAGCAATTTATTCAATGTTTTTAGATTTTTATTGTAAATGGCTTTTGCATAACAAATTCATACAGTCTTGGGGATCTAATTAATCTTATTTGAGTAATCGATTTTTGATGTTAATTTTCAAGTGATTTTATTTTAACTGTTCTCTCAATCAGCATCTAAACACCGATATACAAATACATATGTACCATACATTAATTTAAAGCATCATATATAGAAATTGTATTGATTCTATTTCGTTAAAGATAATGGAAGATTGGCAGTTGAATTTTTCAAAATCATATAAGTAGGTCTCATGTTTATATTAATTCTACCAGCTTTGCTTCCCAAAAAGTTTTCCCATCCCGGATGCGAAATTTAATGAAAAAAATGTTGGCTACTCATATCATTATGGGAGAATTTAATTTATTCATCATCTTGCTGAAATATGATCAATATGACTCATTAAATTTTATGATAGTTTTGAAAACCCAGTTATGATGTGAGTAATGTGGGGTATTTTGGCCCAAGGAGCGGGGCTGTTATAATCACTCATTTTCCCGCTAAGATGTGCCCTCGTAAATTTTTGACTGCTTTTATTTACTTTTGTTTTGCTGCATTGCAATAACGTCGCCTCAAGTTATGATGATATATTTCTAGATTGTAACTATTTTTGTAAACTTAAGAATGCTTCTAGTATGTAAGCTAGTATTGTAATAAATTGCTTTATTTGACCTGGTCATTTTTTGCTTCATATGATGGCATCCATTTATCCTATATCTTAATTCTTAAGTTCATATACCATTAACTGTTAATTATCTTTCAAAGTTGATCTATTCATAGCTAGTATCCTAATATCGTCAGACTGTTCAATCAATCTGTCTACTAACCATACCTCAATTATTTGATCTGTATCCTATTTAATATTTATATATAAAATCGTACCCTTAGTGCGGCTTTAGCTTCTTTTATTTCCTTTTATTGGACAGAGGCGTAGCCACATATTAGACTGACGCATCACCTAATAACACATTTACTCACTATATATGCATAATCTTGTAAATTAATGACCATTATATTTCGGTTGACTAGGAGATAATATTGGAACAAA